ATGAGATCCGGGAGCTCGAGCCTGAACCTGATGCTGTAATGGGATGAAACTTCAGTGATTCCTGGAAGATAAATGACTTTTGCATATGGAAGGAATCTAGAGAATTTATGAACAGAGATTAGACTGTGGCAATTTTCACTTTTCTTCTTTTTTATTGAAGTATAGTTGATTTACAGTGTTAGTTTCTATTGTACAGCAAAGTGAATCTCATATATATATATATATATATATATATATATATATATATATAATTCTTTTTCATATTCTTTTCCTTATGGTTTATACAAGATATTGAATATAGCTCCTTGTGCATACAGTAGGACTTTGTTGTTTATGTATTTTACATATAGTAGGGTGTACCTGTTAATCCCAAACTCCTAATTTATTCCTCCCCCATCCCCATTCCCCTTTGGTAACTGTATGTTTGTTTTCTATGTCTGTGTCTGTTTCTGTTTTGTAAATAAGTTCATCTGTATCATATTTTAGATTCCACACATAAGTGATATCATATGACACTGACATTTGTCTTTTTCTGACTTACTTCACTTAGTATGATAATCTCTTGGTCCATCCATGTTGCTGCAAATGGCATCATCTCATTCTTTTTTATGGCTGAGCAGTATTCCATTGTATTTATACACATCTTCTTTATCCATTCATCTGTTGATGGACATTTAGGTTGCTTCCATGACTTGGCTGTTGTGAATAGTGCTGCTATGAGCACTGGGGTGCATGTACCTTTTAGAATTCAAGTTTTCTCAGGATATATGCCCAGGAGTGGGATTGCTGGATCATACGGCAACTCTACTTTTAGTTTTTTAAGGAAACTCCCTACTGCTCTCCAGTGGCTGCTAGACTATGGCAATTTTAAAACACGACCTCCAAATTTTTTGGTACTCCTCCTTTAGGATGGGGCAAAGCCATGTCCCCTCCCCTTAAATAGGGGATCTGTGGCTGCTTGACCAGTAGCATAGGATGGAAGTGACATTCAGCTTCTGAGCCCACGCTTTAAGCAGTAGCTTCCATTTCCTGTCTCTAGGAACACCGTGGTAGGTGGAATAATGGCCCCAAAGATGTCCACACCCTACTCCCTGGAACCTATAAATATGTTGTGTTACCTGGCAAAAGGAACACTGAAATGAAGTAAGGGTTTTAAAACACGGAGATGATGTTGGGTGGCCCAGGTGGGTGGGCCCAATGTATTCACACGGACCCTTAGGAGTGAAGGAGGCAGCAGAAGAGTGGGTCAGAGCAATGTGGCAATGCAAGAAGAGGCAGGAGAATTTCAAAGTATGAGGGATGTGTTGACCCACTGTCCTAGGCTTTGAAGGCGGAGGAAGAAGGCTACACGAGCAAGAAATGCACGTGGCTGGCGTCTCCAAGCTGAGAACGGCCCTCAGCTGCCAGCCAGCTGGAAATGGGGATCTCAGTCCTTCAGCTGCAAGGGACTGAATTCTGCCAACGGCCTGAAAGAACAAGGACATGGATTCTCCCCTAAGAGCCTCCAGGAAGGGATGCAGCCCTGCCGAGACCCATATTAGACTTCTAACCAAGGAAACGTGAGATAACCAATTTCTGTCATTTTTAGTGCTATTGGTGGCAATCTGTTACAGCAGCAACAGAAAACTAATGTAAAAGCTCACCCTTGAATCCCAGCTACTATGCCATGAGGACACCCAAGCTGCCCATGAAGAGGTCCAGGCGGAGTGAAATTGGCGGCCAGCACCATCTCGCCAACCACAAGGGAACCACCTTGGAAGTGGACCGTCCAGTCCCAGTTGAGTCACCCCATACATAACAAGCTGTTCCTATCAGTTCCTGCTCAAATTTCAGATTCCTGAGCAAAATAAAGGGTGGTGGTTGTCCTAAGGCACTTAGTTTTGCCGTGGTTTGTTATGCAGTGATAGGTGATAACCGGAACATACAGACAGATGCACGTGGAAGTCAGCCCAGGGTATGAGAAGGAATCCCAGGTTTTGTGCCGGCACCATGACAGGGGTGGAGGGATTACAAGGAGTCCTGCTGGTCCTGAGAGAGAGTGGGGATCAGGCTGCGGGCTGGGCGCGCGGGAGCAAGGGAAGCAGTGAGCTGAGTGACCTCCAGGATCCACTCCTACCCCTGAGTGTGGGCTGGGGAGGGATCAAGTTCCTGACATCCTTTTGGACTCTATTTTTATACATAAAGGAACACTACACACACTCTTTTGCGTCCATACGTCCTAATACAATTTTTTTTAATGAGGAACACAATTGGATATCATAAGCCTGGAGAATTCTTAGGTGGAGTTTTGCTGTAAAGGGGACCCAAAAAGTGGTTAATAACTGGAGAAGCGTGAGGGAGCCCTATCTTGGGTGTTTGTTTGAAGATGGTAAATAGTACAACACATTTGTATGTGGATAGGAATGATGCATCTCAAGGCATCATGAATATACCCAAAGTGAGGTATAGTAAGGTTTGGCAAAGCTACAGCTCTACCAAAAGCTAGTTGCTCACATTGCTTTAGAAATCAAATAGCTACACATTACATTTCTGCCGAATTGGGAAAATCCCATTCCTCAACTTCAGAACTGAACCTGAGAGACTCAGATCTTTGTGGCCTTTTTAGGAATAATTTACTCTTCTGTTCAACTCCCAATCTTCCCTTGACCCGGAGCCTGCAATTTGGCTTCTTTCAAATTAGTCCTTACTGTATGCGAAATATTCCTGATTGTTATTTATTTTTATGAATTCTATGGAAACATTTCTTAAAATCTACCAAGCTCTTTCCCACCTCAAGAAACACTGAGCTGAATCAAAGTCTTTAAATATTTTTAAGTGAAGGGCAGTTATCCTAACTGTGGCCACGGAAGAGGGCATCTATTAACCCCTATTACCTAGGACCACCCCGCCCCACCACCCTAAATGATTCTACTTATAAAGATGTGGCTCTTAGCTTTTCCCTCGATTCCTTTCCAATGTATTTCTCTTTTGCTTAAGCATAGCCAGAGACCTTTTCTTGTTATTGTTGTATAAAACCAAAGAACCCTGAGACAGCCAGGATGTTAAATGCTATAAAGTCTCCTAGAAAGACCACTGCCTCCCAAGCTAGGTCCCAGACACAGATTTGGAGGGAGCCTCAATCTGGTTTTTACCCTAGGGAGCTAAGTTCGATTCTGCTATCTCTGTGTTCCCTGACAATTCGAACATTCCAGCTTCTGCAGAGACATCTCTGCCCAAAGTGATTGGAACAGGACAGTTCTGGAACGAGGCTGAACATTAGAATCACCTGGAGGACTCTTCACAAGACAGCCTTGTCACCAGCTGCAATGGGAACCTCTGAGCAGCAGGCCTGAGGCAACCAGTGTGCAACCCGGGTGGAAGACTCGGTCTTGACACTTGGGATTGTCAGTCAGGGACATTTTTAAGAGCACACACTTGCTTCTACCATATCCCTGACTTTCACGATAAACATTCACAACTGTTAGTTCCGTTATTCGTTACTATTCTGAGTGGATGCTCCTCCCACAGGCTTGTTTAGAAGCAGCAATAACACTACTTGACACAGTTTTAATTTAATAATTATAACAAGGGCTTCCCTGGTAGCGCAATGGTTGAGAATCTGCCTGCCAACAAAGGGGACACGGGTTTGAGCCCTGGTCTGGGAAGATCCCACATGCCGCGGAGCAACTGGGCCCGTGAGCCACAACTACTGAGCCTGCGCACGTCTGGAGCCCGTGCTCCACAACGAGAGAGGCCGCGATAGTGAGAGGCCCACGCACCGCGATGAAGAGTGGCCCCCGCTCGCCGCAACTAGAGAAAGCCCTCGCACAGAAACGAAGACCCAACACAGCCCAAAATAAATAAATAAATAAATAAATTTATTTTAGAAAATAATAACAATAGGAAAAGACCCACAAATAATCTGCACAGCACTCATTTAATGGGCACAGGGACCAGGCATGATCCTGTTTAAACAAATTTATTCAGATGTCTCTTTGTAACAGGATCATCTCCTTACCACCCTAGCTATACCACAGTATCATCACTTGGCTAACTGGGTTCTAATGACTGTATTACACAGAAAATCCCAGCCTTAGGTTTCTAACCAAGTATCAACAGTAAAACTACTTTGCAAGAAAAGAAAAATGGAAGGAAGGGAGGGAGGGAAGGAAGGATTTCTTGCAGAATCTGCCCAAAGACTCTGTGGGCGTTGTCACAGTGGGTACGTCCCTTGCCCCGCACCAAGTTCCCTCTGGAGGGTCTCAATCAGTGCTCCCTCTAATCCTACTTCCTGGGTTTGCAACCTCTGCCTTGCACTGGACCCTCACATCACTGACTGACTTGGCCACCTGATTCTGACCTTCGCCTGACTTTGCTCCTTACTTTAAATGACTCTCTCTACACACCCTCACAGGCATATGTACACAAACTGAGCTTGATTCTGTTTACCGATCATGCCTGCCTCTTCCCATTCGTGACCCTTAATTGCCTGACTGGCTTGAGGGGAGGCTGGAAATTCAAATCAAATCTTCCTGCTCTTTGATCTACTTTGTCTTTCATTCCCTCTCCATTACCATTTATTGAGTGAGCACCTACTGTGTGCCAGGCACTGTAGTAGGTGTCTCATAAACATTATTCTTACCACCCACAACCCAACGACACAGATAATGTTCCTGCCTCACAGCTGGAGAAAGACTAACTGCTACTCAAGGTCAAGATTAACTACTACTGCAGGGTGTGATCCGAGCCAGACACAAGTGTTGTCTGAAACATATCATCACCTGAAGTCCCTTGGGGGTGGGGAGCGCAGAAACGGACATAAGGTACTTAAAATGTCACAATGCTTACGATGTTTAGGTTTAATGTAAACATATTTGTATTTGAAAGTGCAAATACTGTCTTCCATTGGTCTTTGAAAAGCAGAGTAGCCTTCTCTAAAAAGAAGCCTTATTTCTATAGCGAAAGTGCTAATAGCTGAAGACAGAAACAATTCCAAAGTCTGTATTAACAAAACCCACAAGAAAGTTATAGAAATACTTTATTTAAATATTAAGAAAAAAATTACACGTACTTAAGATGATTAAAAGTTCATATGTTAAACAAATGCTAAAAACCCAGTAATTTACACAGTGATAAATCTTAAGTGATGGGAAAACACAAAATCCTTTCAACTGGTCCTCCTCCTTACAAAACTATTGTAAAAATGGTATTATATAGGAATTGCTGAAGTTGGGTTAAAGGCACATGACACTATCATTCCTTTATATACACAGCCAGTCATCTCATACACTGAACTGCTCACCCTTAAATGGAAGAGTGAACAACTTCTCTACACTATCGGGAGTACATTATGCATCTCTAATGAAAATTCATTTAAATTTTTACACCAACAACTTCTCCAATGATCCAAACAGATTAACACTGCAAATTAGTTATTTCTGTCTTGAATAGAATATTTCTACTTTGAATCTGAAAAAGTCAATAATGAGTTTAGGAATATGCAAATGAAATATAATTTATTCTGATTTCAACTACAGAGCTATAAAGTTACAATTCTTCCAAGGAAATCATTCACTTCACAGATGCAAAAACACACTGTAGCTTTTCCATTACGTCTGCGGTGCTTTCAGCTAGCAGGATATTAATCATTCACTTTAAACTGACATGCCCTTACACCTGAAAGAAAACCCAAGCGAGACATTCTATCTCAGGCTGTTGGATTTAATATTAAAAAGCACAGTTCAATCTCCCGGCCTACAACATTCTCTGGCTCTCTGTTACCAATTATACGTTGATGTCGGCAGTAAGTCAAAAGCTCCTGAACACGTGGAAAAACTCAATACGGAACAGCCAGAGATTCAAAGCAGACAGGGTCAGATGAGGGAATGCTCTTGTGGCGACAGGTCAACAGGGACAAAGGACATACTGTGAGAGTCCAAAAGGTCCTAGACACAGCACAACGTGTGGAGGGGACTCTGCACATCAGCATGTGTGTGCCGGCAGCTATTTTCAGACTAGCAACAATGAGAGGACATCCATTTCTTCTTTACCTGGTTATAGGGACTTTCCAAACTCCAAAAGGAGAACATGCTGTCTGTGAGCTGAAATGTCAGTTTTCTTTTGCACCCCAACAATTGAGCGCATTAACTTTTTCTTCTCTGGGCCTCAGTTTTCCAAGTTTACTTCTCTGGGTCTCAGTTTTCAAGTTTACTCCTCTGGGTCTCAGTTTTCAAGTTTACAAGTAAGTAAACTGACATATGGAGCAGATTTTCTCCAAGTTCTAACGTAAGCAACATGAAGAGAGGGACCGTCTGTCTTCTTCGCCATGTCCCTAAGCATGTACAGTGAGTACTCTGCACACATACTTATTCAATAAGTGAGTTATCTGCCAATTAGCAAATAGACCCCATTGTGAAGGCAGCAGGCCCAGGGACACAGTGGTCTCTGGGGAAACAGAAATTCTATAAATAACATGGAAGTAAAAGGCTGATGTGCCATCCATCAGATTTTTATGAGGCAGCCAGGACAGTTAGAAAACAGATTTTTCTTCTCAACTGGGTAAAATTGCCCATTCTTCCCATATTCCCATTAACTAAGAACAATCTAGCCAATAGTCATCTGTATAGAAGTAGATGGAAGTTTACTGCAATAGAAAATGGATCAATGTGTGAACTTATCCATATTGGAAGGTGTGAATACTCTCCATGAGATCTTGGAAGGTCAGGGTGCCTTCTCTAAAAAAGTAGTCACTTAGAACTAAATTATGCAAATGGGAAGGGATCACAGTCCCTTCTACCTCAGAGTTCAATGGATGAACAACTCTCGTGTAAACATGACTGAAATAATTTACTAGTCCGTTATTGCTATGTCCACTGAAAATTATCATGAAAGACTTTTTGAAATGCAGTCATTATTAGAAATACCATTCCAGAAATCTTACCTTTAGAAATCATCCAAGGAGTGAGATCAACATTACAACCCCCATAAACTGGGTAAACAACAGCAGTGGAGTGAAAAATGACCACACATGCCATAAAGCAACATTGAAGCTGAAAAGAAAAGGACAAAATAGCCACACAGTTCACAACTATAGCTATACTCTACACAACTGTATTCTACTGTAGAATCTAGATTTAAAGGACTCACTTTTACCGGGTTTGGGAAAGTTCATTCAGCCAGTAACTTTCTATATATAAATCATGTTTCTCAGATATGTGACTTAGCCAATATTGGAAATATCACCATTTCTTCACAAAGTACTCAGAACTGGAATCACTAAAGCTCCTCTAACGAGAGCTGGCCTGGCTTAACAGAGACTTCAGTCTCTTAACATTAGTATCTGTAAAGGAACACGAAATAAAATGACTACAGCCTGCTTTTACGATCTCACACACTACCAAACTATAATGGTAAAAAAAAAAAAAAAAAAAAATAGACGGTTAAAGTATTTTTCTGTTAGAAACAGAATGAAAAAGTAATCATTTATAAGCTGCTATTAAACTTTCCATTGAGAAAAATACTATTCCTGTCACCAGGTAAGAATAACACACTTTCTAAGTGCAATGATTTTTATGAACTGAATTTTTAACAGCAGAAGTTAATAAAGGAAAATTATAGTCAATTAAATAAGTGTTTCAGATAGTTAATGACTAACATAATATTTTGAGAAGTAGACATTTAAATAGCTATAATCCTACTGTTCTAAAACATACAATAATATTTCCGGGGGTGACGTTAGCCTTATAAGAAATTGTAAAATAAGACAACTGTCTACACTCGTCACTGAAGGGTTAATAAAAAACAGCATCACAATGCAACATATGTCAAACACCCATAAACTTCAACTACAGAAAATACATAATAGAAAAAATACATTTAAACTGAATATGTACAAAGGTGTGTGGTTTTCCCCAAATTAAAATGCAATTAATATAAAGAGAGGAAAAAAACCTAAAAGCCCATACACAATGTTCAGTGTAGTTTTCTCTCTGGTTGGCAGGATCATGGGATTTACTTCGTGTTTTTCTGTAATTTACAGATTTCTCTTTAATGAGCAAGTTATAAAATACTTTTATAAACATAAAAAAAACTTTTCATTGAGAACCTCTTAGCTTATGAAAAATGATGTTAATTGTGGCATTATTTATAACAGCGAAAGAATTAAAAAACAGGGAGCTGGTTAAATAAATCATGATATGTCCATGCAGTAATAATGATGTAACTGTTAAAAAGAATAATGATGTAACTGTTAAAAGTACATCTATATGTACTGGTATGGAAGAATTCCAAACTCTATTTAAAAAAAAAAAGATCACTCTGGAAAACAGTTTGGCACTATTTACTAGAGTTGGAGGTATGCATACCCGATGAGCCAATGATTTCCCTTCTAAAGATATGTATATATGTATGCATGTATATATACATCTAAGAGAAACACGCACAGGCACACAAGACATACACAAGAATGTTCTTAATAGCATCACTCATAATAACCCCAAACTGGAAATAATCCAAATGCTATCAACAGCAGAACAGATAAACTGAGATTTGGTTATAAGATGGAATGCTGAACAGCAATGAAAACAAGCAACTGTTATGCACAATATGGATGAATCATACATAATGTTGCATGTAAACAGTCAAATGTAAAAGAATACATACTATATGAACCCATTTCTATAAGAGATGCAAAAGAAAGCAGTTACCATGAAGGTGAGGACAGTGTTTACCTGCGGGAAGGAATGAAGGTACAGTGACTGGGAGGGGGCATGGAAGGGGTTAGAGGAGGCTGGCACAGATCTTTCTCTTGACCTCGTTAGGGTTTACACCAAGGCTCACTGCATAATTCAGCTGTATATTTTAGATTCTTCCACTTTTCTGTCTGTATTATACTTCACAATGAAAATGATTTAAAAAGCAAAATGCAATATATATATATAGCATATCACCATTTGTATTTTAAATAACTAAATATATAAGTAAAGAAAGATACTACTGAAAAGGGAATCAAGGAGACTGTTTTCCCATTATTCCCCTTTTTTTTCCCTCTTGAATTTTGTACCATGTACATCATTACCTGATCAAAAAAATTTTCATTCCAAAGGTAACTTACCAAATTCCTGCTACAATAAAAGTAGCAGTTGTAATAGGTATCAACGTTGGATACTTGATATCATAATCTTCAATTCCACAATACCATTCCAGATAGACTATGCAGTAAAATGCAATCGATAAGCTAACAAGCAACAAGGTACCGCCAAACAGAAACCAACTGTAGAGACAAAAATAATACCCTTCTATTATCCTCTTTTACATCCTCTGCAGCCTAATAGTAAATAATTGTTTTTGACACATCTGAAATGTGACATAGGCTCATATTGTTGCTGGCTTACCATACCAATGGCAGTGATCCCATTTTTTTTTTTTTTTTTTTTTTTTTTTTTTTTTTTTTTTTTGCGGTACGCGGGCCTCTCACTGTTGTGGCCTCTCCCGTTGCGGAGCACAGGCTCCGGACGCGCAGGCTCAGCGGCCATGGCTCACGGACCCAGCCGCTCCGCGGCATGTGGGATCTTCCCCGACCGGGTCACGAACCCGCTTCCCCTGCATCGGCAGGCGGACTCTCAACCACTGCGCCATCAGGGAAGCCCAGTGATCCCATTTTTGACAGTGCATGTATCTGACAAAGGTTTTGTAAGTTTACCTTTGAATACAGGTGATTTGAATTTTGAGTCCTGCCCCATAACACAGGGCCTACCAGCCAGGTATGACTCAGCCCTGCTACTAGAGAAAGGAAGCATCTTAACTTACTGAGTCAGAATTTCTATGCCTATCTTTAGAAAGATGTTATTTGCAATTTTGCTCCAGACTGTGTGCAGCATACCTTGGGTCTAGACAATATAAACTACTTATAAAGGCTCTTCAGATACCTGAAGCTGACTAGAAATTCAGTGATTGTTAAGCAAATATGTACACAAAAATAAAGTGGTTAAAAAAAAAAGTGCTAATTGACAGCACTTAACAAATCAGGTATCTTAAAATTTTTCATTAACAGTCTAAATATCTATTTCTAGGAAGAATATCAACTGGGGAAGGGGCAGAGGGACCCACAGTTACTCTATCCCAGCTTGCAGAAAGTCTAGATCTAATAGGAGATGGGTAGGTAAAGATGAGAGTGAGACACATGAAAGGATGAAAAAGTAAGACTTTAAACACACACACACACACACACACACACACACACTTTCATAAAATAACCGACAAAAAAGGACGTTTTCTTTAAACATACAGGAAAGCGAGTGGCTTTCTGGTTGTTTCTGAAGTTTTGACTGTGAGAGTAATAAAGATTTCAACAGATACCATCAACTCCTCCAAGTTAAGCTGGGTTTCTTGAAATACTGAATATCAATTTGGAAGGAGTTAATTCATATTGCCTCTCGTAAAAGATTTCTAAATGAAACCCTCCCGTTCCTAGAATATCTCCAGTCCTCCCCCAAGGGCCAATGGCTTTTTGCTCCTTCCAACTCCACCCAAGACCTGGCTCAGTGTGTGTGAGAAAAAGCTCATCAGCCCCTTCCTTCCAGCCCCTGCTGGTCATGGGAGGAGGCCAGATTTGGAAAATCAGAGGAATGAACCCTTTTCGAGAAAGCAGAAGGCAGCCTGCACGGACTGCCTCTGGGTAGCGCTCTCCCGCCACAGCTGCCCCAACTCCCCGCTGCTTACCGAGGCCTCAGCAAGAATGCAACACTACTCTACTCAAAATCCTCAGCCTTCGGCCATGCATTTCTGTCTCTTTTCCTCTAAGATGACACTTCTTTGAGGACAGGTCTATGACTCCCACTTTCTTTTCATGCCCCCCAGTCCTGGTCCGGAGGCTGAGTCCAGGCTCTGTCACACACCACCGGTGGGCTACTGGGTGCCACTACTCCTGTGGGCGCCCCCAAACACCTTACACTGTAGTGAGTTATTCCTTACCTCACCATCTCCTTTAACTACTAAGAATACTTAGTATTCTCATATACAAGGATACATAGGACACAAATGGATAAATCCTCTCATCTCTCCTGAAACCTCAAAAAGCCCTACCTCCTGAGGCTGGGCTGGACTGGACTGGGCGCCCCTTCTAGGTGCACTCAAGGCATCCCGCACATACCCTCATACACGCAAACAGTACGCACCACATGACTTACTCATCTATCACAGCCTAAAATGAGCTGGTGGAGGGTGAGAAATGTGCCTTGTTCATCACTGTGACCATAACTGGATACATCTCAGGCTCTCATGAGATATTTCATGAACGAAGCAGCAGGTGCTACTGATGGTGTCTGAAACAACCATCACTTCTTTTCCCAGCCCAAGTTCTAGACCAATTGAAAGACACAAAGAAACCAAACTGATAAAGACCAACTGTCAGCTTCTTTACTGATAGAGCTACGAAAAGAAGACAGCTTTGGTGAATGGTGACAACGTGCTTCCTCACACTGAAACCCAGGAAGAGACAGACTTACCTACTGGGTTTCAAGTCACAGTGAAAACTTAAGAGACCTTGTCATGTCAGGGTCGCCCCATAAAACAATGGTGCAGAAAAGCAGCCCAGAATCTGTGCTTCCCATGGGCAGCTGGCTCCCAAGTGGGAGAAGGTGCTGAGATACATACCTGGTTCTTCATCCCAAACCCTATCAGGAGGTCTAGCACCTCCCAGGGAAGAAGCCAGCGAGGGGAAGGGCCAGAAGATGGGCGTGTTTAGGGAAAGCTCCTGCTTGTGGAAATAAGGAACGGGAACAAGCTCTCTCCCTCCCATAGTTTACATAACACCGCCCCCCCCCTCCGCCTGCTTTCCCCGGACCACCTACTCCCTCACTCTGCTCAGGCGCCCCTCCAGCAGTCACTGCTCTTCCTGAGGGCCTCTGTGGGAGAGACTGTGTGTCCCCCAACCCCTACCGATATCACCAGATCAAACAGTCCCGTCTGCACCTTTCTAGCCCTGCTGGTACTTCCAAACAATTACACTTGCACTTTAAGCAAATCACCCCTCTGGATGCCAGCTCCGATGCTCACCAACACCTCTCCCTCTTTTTCTGTTATCTAGGGGCCTCTAGAACACTCTCCAATGTCCAGTGAGGACTCAGGAGTGTGATGAACAACCTTTCCCTCCATGTCAACTCCTAGATTTTATACTAAAGAGATTTCAATCCTCATGAACGATGGACTATTTGACATCCTGCCTCAAAGCTCCTGACTCCTCCCACCAGTGACCTCAACTCTAATTCAATCACAGCCTGTACATGTAGTTACCTTGTTGGCTGTAACTATTCTCTGAAAACGAGCTCTGAGACCCAACTCCCACCCACCACAATTCTCATTCCCTCCTCCCAATGCTCTTGTACTTGATCTTCTTAAAGACCTTCAGTCATTCTCTCTGCATGGTTTACAAATGGATTAGGTCCTTCTTAAATTCACTACCATCCTCATCCTAAAAAACATCTGTGCTGAAAAAGCCCACTGAAATAATTTCTAGCCTCACCCACTCTGCAGTACGTGCCCAGAACACACTCTCTTTTTCAACTCTGCGTCACCAACACCTCCAATACCATGCCCGGCAGAAAGTAGGTGCTTACTAAGCGTCTGAAGAATTCGGCTCACAAAAATGTGAAAAATAAAACAAGTGTGTTTTATTAACTTAAAAAGCAATAAAGTTTTCTTACCTGCTGGTGTGAAAGTTTTCTTTAACGGTTTGAAAGAAATCAACATAATAGGTCACAGCAATGGATGCCAAAATCCAGAATCCAGAATGGATATTAAGTCTTGGAAGAGGTTTCTCCTTTTTCTCAACAGGTGTAGAGGTTTCTGCAAATAACAGAGAGTTCAACTTATGAAGTAACCGTTAACGTCACAGGAAAAATTATACCTTTTTTGTTTTTGGCCACGCCCTGCCGCTTACAGGATCTTAGTTCCCCAACCAGGGGCTGAACCTGCTCCCTCGTCAGTTAAAGCACAGAGTCCTAACTACTGGACTGCCAGGGAATTCCTTTTTTTTTTTTTAATTACACCTATTTTAGGTCAAATAAAATAATTTCCTAGAGCTTTCTAAGAACCACATTCTCTCCCATTATAGTACCAATTTCTTCTGTAAAACCACCAAAATAGGTTTATATTTTTAGAAATAATTAATAGGAGCCTGCCATAAAACCTGTCCAATATAGTCAACTTTTTTTGCCGCTAAATGAATTTTGCAACCAAATTTATTTATAGTCTTTTGGAAAGAATAACGCCATCTGGTAGTATAGGAATTTTAATGCTATGCTTCACATGTAGTCTAGGAAAGTGATTAGTCCTGTTAATTAAGAAAAATGCAAGTGGCAAACATAGAACACAAAATGGACTTGATTTTCCAAAAACACTACTTACAACTACATATTTTAACTTTTTAAACAAACACAACCTTTTAGGGCAGCTCAAAAGTGGAAAGGGCACACTGGAGGTCTAGTCCCAACATGGTACTGTTTTAGACAGGTGATGGACAAGTCAAATTCCTTCCATTTGGGACCCAATCTGAAAGAATGGGTCAAATGGGGTCTAACAAGTTCCCCATGTGACTGACATGCCCTCTCTCTCAGTTCATGTGAGAACCACTAGCATGTAGCCAAGGTTCCCGAGCTTTTAGCTGACCATCAGAATTCCTGGGAAGCTTATTCATAATACAAATTCTGCGAGACACCCTCAAAATTTATAAACCAGCATGCCTGCACATGTTGTTTTCTGCGTTTACTTTTTAAAAGTAATAAATAAACAAGATTTACAACATACAGGACAAAAAGATCTAAGGTGAAATCTCTCTTTATCCTTAACCCCAGTTGCCCAGCCCCAAAGCAGCTACCAGTAATAACGTCTACTGAATTCTTGCATATTCTATGCATCTACAGGTGAACACACACCGCATGTTATCTGGTTTGAACACAAATGGTGGCATACCATACGCTGTTCTGCGCCTCCCTTTGAAAAGCATCCACATTGGTTCATAAAATCTGCCTGCTGTGTCATGTATAAACAGCCAAGTGTATTTAACCAGCTCCCTGCTGACGGACAATTAGATGTTTCCAGTCGTTCGCTATTAAAAGCAAAGCTGAGATGAAAGATTTTGCACACACGCCCTTGTGTACTGCTACGAGTACGCTCCTTTGTTAGGTTCTTAGAAATACAATCTGTGGATATTTTTTATTTTAATGGGTATTGCCAAACAGGTGTTAAACCAGCTCTCCTGGGAATCCTGAAGACCAAGATGCGCAGGGCTACCTGATCTCTAAGGGTCTTTTACGACAGTAAATACCCGACTTGCAAAACTACTTGGTAAGCCTTGCAAAAACGAAACCCGGTCCCTCCTGACTGGGTAGGGCTGCGAGAGGCCTGCGGGGCCGGCCGTGTCCGGCGCCTCGCCTCCGGGAAACTCGGCGCGACTCGGAGCGCGCCAGCGGGGGTGCCTCACCCGGACAGGCGTAGCCCTCGCGGTCCAGTGGGACCACCGCGTCCCGAGGGAACAGGTATCTCCGCCGGAGTCGCTCCCGAGCCTGTAGAGCGTCCATCTTAGCACCGCCCAGAAACTGGGCGGTAGTGACGTCAAGCCCACCGGAACTTCCGGCATCAGTTCGCCGGAGGAGAGAGGGATTTCCTTTTGTGAAGGGGAGAGGGTGTGTTGTCTTCGCGGTTTTAGTTCGTGAGAACGTACGGAGGGTTTGGCTTTGCTATCTCAGTGCTCAAATCCAGAAACATGATTTGAATTTCAAAATACTTATCCTTCCCCACCTGAAGATATCCAGTTTGTTCCGAACTACGGAAGCCCAGAAGGGTCAAGCTTACCGATGCCGGCGAATGCGCGCGGGCGGGTGTGCTAGGCCCTACGGGGGCGCTTCGTTGTTTTTGTGCTCTGCGTCCTGAACCCCGTGGCTCCTGTATGCCCAAAGCATCTCAGCCCCAGCTTCTTTCCTCCTCCTCCTCCTCAGGAGTCGCCCAGCTAGACTTGAAAGAGTCAGAGGCCACCCAGGAGGAGAAAAGGACCGCTGGGCCGGGCCCAGGAACCTGCGGTGGAGTCTGGGCCTGGCGCTGACCGCTCGGGTGGGCTCAGGCAAGAAATAAACCTTTCTGGGCCTGTTTCCTCTTCTGTACAACGGGGATTATACCTGCCTCATGGATTTGTTCTGGGGTTTTAAATGTGAAGCACCCGTATGTGGTTCGTGTTAGCCCCCTTAAGGCTTGTGAGCAATTGCCCCCAGCCAGAAACGTGAAAGCTAAATTTGTACTTTCCCAGAAATCCATCAGTTCCCATCACTCACTCTCGTAAACTGAAAAAGACTGTGTTACTAATTCACAAGTTTTCCTCCATCAGTAATCCTGTTTGCTACTCTCTTGCCTCCTTCCTACCGTGTCATATGTTGAGAAATTTTGTGCTTAACCCTTCAAACTTTTGCTGAGCACCTACTGTCTGCTAGGAACTGTTAGGCACCATGCGAGGCAATGGAGATAAGATGGATAAGACATGACGTTGCCCTTGAGCTCCTGGGCCAAAAATGACCACAGAGACCTAGTACAGTAGAAAGCAGTATTTATAAATGTATGGAAGCGTTTCATTAATTCAGTCAACAAACATTTTCTGAGCAGCTACATCTGCTAAAATGCTGAGGACAGGGGCAGGTTAGAATCTAGTGGTGGAGACGATTTCCATCCAATGCCATAACAGAGATACTGCATATGAGGTTATGAGAGCACCAAAAAAAGGGCAGCCCTTCATTCTCCTGTGGTACGTGGGGACCAGGGAGAGTGACTTGAGGTAGGTTGAATACAGGGATGGATAGTCCAGAAAGCCACCCAGGAAGTAAAATCTGAATTAGTAGGCACTCTTTAATATCACTATGTGTTGTGAGTGTTTGCAGAAGAAATGCAATAAATATTCAAGAAAAGAATGTCAAGTTTCTACAGGTTTATTTCTATCATTTTTTCAGCCTTTGTAGCAAACCCTTTGGAGCAAAGGATTTAACAACTGGGTGGATCATATGGCCTTTCTACACAATACCTCCTTTTTCCCGTTTCGTTTTTTTCTTTTTCTTTTCAGACTCCTGAAGAACCAGGGTTTATCTCTTCAAAGCCACCTGGGGTCTTTGCCCTCCCTTCTCCTTTTGCTTGTACAGGGTTAGAAGCCTTGTTAACAGGAAGTGAATTCCTCTTATCAAATACAGTCTTCTGTTGATTGTCTCCTTGTAAAAAGGTCAGTGCTAGGTCTCCCTTGTAATTGAATATTCCCGAGAGCATCGCAACCATTCCAGGGTTTCCATATGTAGTATGTTCGGGTCAGATCAGTTTCCCCTTTGGTGGTTTCAGGGCCTTTGTATTTGGATCTGAATGCCTTTCAGCTTTTTTTTCCTCCCTGATATTTTAAATGCACTTCTTGCAGACCATATTGATGATACTTTAAAGCAGTTTGGAAAAAATCCGGTATTTAATGTCCACATCTTCATTGCTAGGGCCCATTAAATAAGTTCTTCAATGTGTGTACTGTGCACCAAAATGATAGATGTATGATATCAGATTGCTACCAACCAAGAAATTTCATTTTGACTGTGGATTACTTTTGGGGAAAAAATGAATTTGACTGTGACCTTTGCTGGCCTTCCCTTAGCAATGTGGTTAAATCCAAGGTGTTCATAGACTATTGAATCCTGGCTCCATCACTCTGGATTCCTTGGGCAAGTTATTTCATTGTTCTAAGTATCAGTTTCCTCATCTGTGACACAGTAGGTACCAGAATGAAGATAAGTGCATACCAGTTGTTTAGGCTAGTGCCTCACACGTTCAAGCAGTGGTAGTTGGTAGTTATTAATTGGCCTTGCCAGGCTTTCTGGATTTGGTTCCTGCTTACCTCCTCATCAGTTATTCCCTTCTCCTTGGGCTCCAGTTATTCTTTTTATTATTATCATTATTTTTGTGCGGTACGCGGGCCTCTCACTGTTGTGGCCTTTCCCGTTGCGGAGCACAGGCTCCGGACGCGCAGGCTCAGCAGCCATGGATCACGGGCCCAGCCGCTCCATGGCATGTGGGATCTTCCCGGACCGGGGCACGAACCCGTGTTCTGCATCGGCAGAAGGACTCTCAACAACTGCGCCACCAGGGAAACCCTCCAGTTACTCTTTGTTGCAATTTTCCTTTTGCTTGTGCTCTCCCAGTTGACGGGGGGCTACAACCATGTCATAGCTGCTCCCCAATGCCTTGCAAACACCTGGCACATAGCAGGTGATAAAAGAAATTTTTACATATTGAGATATAGGGAAATCATTCTGGCTTCGACATGAGTTAACTAGAATTTTATGCTAACTAAAATAGCCTGTTTGTGGCCTATCAAACCTACTTTGTACATCTGTTTTATTTTTTTTTAAATAAATTACTTATTTATTTATTTTTGGCTGCGTTGGGTCTTCGTTGCTGCGCGCGGGCATTCTTTAGTTGCAGCAAGTGGGGGCTACTCTTCGTTGTGGTGTGTGGGCTTCTCATCACGGTGGCTTCTCTTGTTGCAGAGCACAGGCTCTAGGTGCAAGGGCTTCAGTAGTTGCGGCACGTGTGCTCAGTAGTTGTGGCTCGTGGGCCCTAGAGCGCAGGCTCAGTAACTGTGGCACTGTTGCGGTCCGGGAGCCACACGCCTGGAGTCGAGTTCCCCGGTAAATGCGACCCGTGTCCCAACCAAGGACACCCGAGAATCACCAACACCAAGTAGAAAGATTAGCAAAGGATTTATACAAGTGTAGAAGCTTACACAAACTGTCCGGACAGGGTCCCACTCGGAGAGAATTGAGTGAGACCCCGACTAACAGTCGGGCGAGGCTTTTATACCCTTCACAGGGCGGGAAGTCCCCAAGGCGGGAGGGAGCTGTTTAATTTTGAATCAGCCAATCAGGAACCCGGTTCTTCCCGCCCCAAGCAAGCAAGCAAGTTTCTTACAGAAGCCAAAATGTGCTGTTAGCCCTGAAGCTGTTCTTCCGTTTCTTTCGTCACAGCACACAGGCTTAGTTGCTCCGCGGCATGTAGAATCTTCCTGGACCAGGGCTTGAACCCGTGTCCCCTGCATTGGCAGGCAGATTCTTAACCACTGTGCCACCAGGGAAGCCCTGTACATCTGCTTTAATTATTAAAGAAAAGGGCACATTGACCAGATGTAAAGAATGTCCATTAAAAAAATAAAGATTAAATGCCCCTCTTCCTGGGATGCCAATGCTAGTCCTCCTTTGATGATAAGACTCCCTTCCCAGGTGCCAAGGCCATTACTGTGTGTGCTGTATGTGTATGCATTGGTGTTTTTTTGAAACCTTGAAGAAATGTATCCCTGACTTGTTTAATGTTCTTTGTTCTGACAAGATATAAAACTGTGCTGAAAACCTGCTTCTCCAGAGCAGTTTCTTAGAGTAATCTGGGAAACAGGCTTCTGGGCTAGTCCTCAGTTTGGCACAAATAAAACTCTTTTCTAATTATTGATTGTTTATTGATTATTTTCGTCGACATAGGAATTCCATTACCCGGTTTTCACTTTGACCCTTGGTCACAATTAACCCTGGTCTTTGGTGTAGACATCCCTTCCTCTGAGAAAATACTTTTTCTCCCTTCTATAGCAGTCCTGTCCTGCAGTGTTCTCAGGAGGCTGACCCTGCCCTAGGAGAGGGCACATGACCCAGACCAGACCTGTCAGTCCCCAGGACTTAGGCTAGAGCTGTTGGGAAGACCTCTCTGAGGTCAGTGTGGGCTTGTCACCATGGAGACACACAGAGGAGCCCACCGTAGGAAGGAAGCTCTGAGATGGAAGCCAAGCCAAGCAGTCTCATAGCACTGTTTCAACCCCTGAACCCAGCCAAACCCTACTTAAGCTAGTTAAGAACATGAACTCTGGAGCCAGCTGCCTGGCCAGCTTTCATTACTGGTTCTGTCATTACTGGCTGCTTCAACCTTGGGCAAGCCAGGGATCCTCTCTTTTGTCTACAAGATTGGGTAAAGATTAAAACTACTAATACACGTAGGGATTCGTTCAAGATGGCAGAATAGAAGGACGTGCACTCACTCCTTGCGAGAGCACCAGAATCACAGCTAACTGTTGAACAATCATCGACAGGAAGACACTGGAACTCACCAAAAAAGATACCCTACATCCAAAGACAAAGGAGAAGCCGCAGGGAGACAGTAGGAGGGGCGCCATCACAATAAAATCAAATCCCACAACCACTGGGTGGGTGACTCACAAACTGGAGAACAGTCATACCACAGAAGTCCGCCCACTGGAGTAAAGGTTCTGAGCCCCATGTCAGGCTTCCCAAGCTGGGGGTCCGGCAATGGGAGAAGGAATTCCCAGAGAATCAGACTTTGAAGGCTAACAGGATTTGATTGCAGGACTTCGACAGAACTAGGGGAAACAGAGACTCCACTCATGGAGGGCACACACAAAGTAGTGTGTGCATTAGGACCCGGGGGAAGGAGCAGCGACCCCATAGGAGACTGAACCAGACCTACCTGCTAGTGTTGGAGGGTCTCCTGCAGAGGTGGGGGGCAGCTGTGGCTCACTGCGGGAACAAGGACACAGGCAGC